TGATCGAAAACATAGGTCTCATTATTTTTAGGCTTTTACAAAAAAGAAGGAGTAATAAAAAATTGACACACGTCGACATATCAAACTTCATAAGTCATTTGTGTAATTTTGTTTCGCTATTTTTAATTTTTTATATCATCTTCATTTAGATAATAAAAAACCTAAAGGTACCAATCTTGAGGAAAATTAAAAAAAATTTGATTCATTTTTTATGTGTTTATATGTTTTTACACGATGAGGTAATCAAAACAATAAATTCACTTGAACAAGCATAATGATATATAAATATAGGTATGTTATTAGCAAAACTTTGAATCCTATTAATTTTATACAAATTTATCTTTCTCTACTGATATGTGGTTATTGATTTTTCAATTTTTGCGTGTAATTATCATAATAATTTCACTACAACATGTCTGCCACGTAAAAAAAGGAATAAAGAGCCCTCTGTACTAGGAAAGTGTAACTAATTTTTTCTTAAAAAATTTTGTCAGTGTCACTAAAAAATTCAAAACAAAATTTCTACTATAGAATTTGGCAATTTTTGATTACTGTTTTTAGTGGTGCATCAGTTTATCCAAGTAGTTTTATAATTAATTTATAGGTTTTTCTTTTTAGTAACTGACCGCATTCTTTGAGACACAATTTTTATACTTCGTTTCTGACAAGATTTTCTGGTTCTTATTAAATGAGTATGTTTTAAATAAAACTACCCTCACATATGTGGAATACTGAAATAATGTTTGAGGGTAGTATGAAACTAGAATTTGGCACAAGGTTCTTGAAAGTAAAGTCATTAGGGTACAAAAGGAAATCTGTATAATACGAGAACAGTAACCACGAGAACAACAGATACGCATGGCACTATTGCGTGTTATGGTACCTAGTCCCCTTGCTCGTGTGACTTTATGTCACTTGCCGAATGGCAATATAATCACCCTGATGGTACAAAGCAACTACCCATCCCATTCTCTGCTTCTTCAGTGCCATCAAATGTTGATGATACAGACGATATGACATACGCGACACTAATTTTCCTCCCATTGTCGTATTTCTCGCGAAAACTGGCAGAAGCTACAGGTAGCAATAGTTCATCTCGCTAAAGTATTTTCATAGGTGGATTTTCTCTCACAATGACTGAAATTCGTACAAACAATGTCCCGACTAATTACACACAGATGTTGCTCACTTTCAGAGCATACAGGTTTATATATCTTATAAAATTAGCAACTTTGTAAATTCCAAATATTTATTTATTCCACCGTTAACATCATTAATATTAATTAACAATTTCCAGATAAGACTCCAACATTCGTTTATCCTTTCCCCATAGGGTTATTTATCTGGATCACTAATCAGGGGAGTATTTGTCCTTATTTAATCGCGTCACGACTATACGTTCATCCTATTGCCATTGTGGAAAGAAAAGCTGATTCTCCCACCAGCCTTCATTAAATTTTTGGTTAAATGCCAGCCGAGCTGATCCCAGTTTCTTTGGAGATCGCATTCTGGGATATCAAAGGGTTAGTCATTGGATTCTAGACCGAAGCGAAGTTAAGAGTTAACTTAAGAGCGCGTGAGAAACGCCACACCAGGGAGAATAAGAATTATTGAAACGGCGGCAGAAGGGAGAAATAAGCCAGGGGCTAACACTTAATGGAATTAAAAGTAAGCCTAGAGATAGCGAGATTCGTTCGTTTTTATTCGCCATTACGTTCGCGCAATCTTTATTTACCTGCCATCCTATTTACTTCTTTTTCTTCACCTGACAGAAATAGAAAAAAATCAGTGAATAACTTAGAAAAAAATTGTGATCGAATTATGGAGTTGTTAGTAAAATCTTTGTCGATGCAGGATGAAGTATTAGATTAGGTTCAATGGCGTGAAGCGAGGCGAGGGAAGGAAAGCTGAGTAAGCAGGTCGGATAGTCTGTAAAGGACGAGAAGGAGCACAGATGGATGGATAGATAACTGGGAGGTATAACACTGATACAATTAGATGTGATCTTAACGCCATAACTCAAGGCTAATCTCGAGGTTAGCACCGGTCTAGGGCTGGTTCGACCTGCCCTTCCGGTCGAGGCGCGAGTCACTTCATTATTCATCCCATTCTGCAGCACTGGTTATCTCACCATCCTACCCGGACGTACCAACCGACCGAGATGCCCACGGTCCGCGGATACCTCACGGATTCTATGGTGTGAATCGGCCACTAAGATCCGGGCAATATCTATCGCTTTGCATTCCACACCTAGCTGGTGTCACGTTATCTACTTACCCATCCGCTCTTGGAATTTGCGATTATCCGGTATTATGTTGCTACCGAAAATGCTCACTTTTGATAATTGTTTTTACTGCTCACATATGAATTTAAATTTAGATATTATTTTACATTTTACAACGTTACAAACGAATCAATATGCGAGTGGAAAGTTTTGTTTGTATTTATAAATTTGATGGGACAAAGCAGATGGTACTGTAAAGTTTAAGTTCCATTTTGATCACCTTGAACGTGCCACTCGCAGTAGCGGTAAAAGAGACACTTTTTTTAATAAGTCGTAACTTCATCCGCTATGAAAACGAGAGTCGTAGTAAAGCCGCCTGCTGGAGTCGACCATCTCTTATTGACTGACTTGGTTTATGTACTCTTGGTTTATGATGCCACTAAAGCTGTGGAAGAATTTCGCTATCCACCAGGTTGAAAATAAAATCTCTCTTATTCTCTAATACCTCAGTTTTTCGTGGATTTACATTATAACTTCTTTTGGCGAAGAAAAACCGAGATTGATTAAAATATGCACTTGAGTGTAAGTTCAATTTGAACCAAGTTGCATATGGATTTATTACTTGTTATTAAACAAATATAGTTTTATGTTCGTAACTTATGAAGATTTTTTGAAATTTTTTAGAATCATTTCAATACGTTTTAATTAACCTCTTTTTACTGGGAAGGGCAAAAGGAGAAGTTTCTATAAGTATGTAGGGAAATTTGAGCAATTAAAATTCTGATAAACCGAAAACTAACACTAAAAAGTAATATGAATAACGAAGATTTGATAACTGATATAAAGATTGAAACATGAAAAGCACTACAATTTATAAACAGTTTAAAAGTTCAAATTGATAGCAGTTACTTAATAATTGATCCATTTCCTTACGAGAATTTGTAAACAAGAACAAGTGCTTATAAACCTAAAAGACTAAATTGCTTTTTAAGGAAACTATATCCACCTAGTCCAGGTTCTTGTTCTAAAAGTAAGATTCTATTTATCAATTAAAGACTATTTTTGTTTGTAAAATAAAATTTTTTGTTATTAATAAATAAATGTTCTCTCACAAGTTAGTTCGTTCATTAACTTATCCTCATCCCAAATCAGATTTATTATTGAAATTGATTTAAAACTAGGAAAATAGAAAAGATTTACAAATTTGAATTGATGTTAAATTAAAAATGTTCAACAGTTGTATTTGCAACGAAATATATAAATTGACTTTAAGTCTAGAAGTCTTGTCTAGTGGAATTAATAGCATTGTAATTGAAATCAGCCGTTAGACGGTGTTGGCTAGGAATATTAGTAAGTGTGGTCTACGAAGGAGACGAGACTAGAGAGAACTAGAGCTCAGAGAGAAGCATTAGAGACTGGGGATGATCACTGAGCGCGAAGCACTAATCAAGACGCATGATTATAGGCCCCAGAGCGCTCCACGGAAACCCACTATAGCTACTATAACCCAGGAGGACGCCTTCACATCCTCTAGGATATAGTTATTCGCTCATTCCTCTCCTTCCGACCCTGAGATTACAAGGCCGTGGTTTTTGTCCTCCAGATATCTTCCCTCTCATATTACATTTAGGGCTTTACATTCATACCTATCAAACTTGAAAATACCCTTCGAGTTCTTACCAATAGTTTCGTAAATTTATGACAATACATTTTTTAAAGAAATTGTTTTCTTCTTTTCATTTACTTTTTTCATTTTATCTAAGAATTCATCAAGAATATAGTTAGAAAGATCATCAAAGTGGATTTAGTGCAACATATTAAAATATCTAATAGCAGGAAATTATTCTAATGTAGAATTTGGTTCTATATTGAGAGAGATGTTGATTGAATTATCGTGGAAAATTAGTATCTTCGTGCACCCTTAATGGAGTGTAACGTCGACGAAAACGTCGTCGATTTAGCAATGCCGCGGAAATTTCTCTAGCAACGCCAGCGTGCCTACAGTAGTATTTGAGGTTACGCTAAGCAAGTTAACACAACCCCAACGTATCGTGTTAAATTATGCTCAGTGCCAACACGTTCCCGTGGTGTACATGCCGCGGCACACACGACCGTAAGGAACCGTAATCACCGTAAGCACCTCCGGCACCATGCATTTGACACGAAATCGTCTTCTGCTTCGAATCCTTAACCATCGATGTGAAAACGCCTCTCTGCCTTCCGAAAATTTCTAAGTTTCTAGCAAACTTCATATTATTAATAATGCACACTGGAAACATTAAATTGAAAATTCTATTTTTAATCATAAATAAATCATTAAATAGTTTTAATGTTTATTTGACTCATGTCTTTAAAATCCGTGTGAGGTGAGAAAGTTTGAAAATTAACTTTTCTCCTTGAGGAGGGATCAGTTAAGTTCGATACAAAGAAGGAATTCCGCTTGAAGAGAGATAGCAGATCGTTCGTTGATTCGTTAATCTTACGAGCGTCGAAGCGTCGAATTCGCAATTCGAGCGATTGGATACGAGGCACCAAAGCCTTCCTTCCTTCCTTCCAGGCTTTGCTATAAAGTTCAAGGGTCAAAAGCTAGTCAAGACGGGTCAATTTCATCGAGCAAAGATGAAACTTTCCCTCATTTTGTTATGTAATCTATCAGTTTGAACACAACATCTCTAATTCTTATCTTTTTTATATCAATTTTATTTCATAAAAATTATTACAATTTAAAGAAAAGAATCGCACATTTCTAAAAGAAGGTGAAATGAATGCCAAGACATTTTACTTTTAAGGTTTTTTTTAATTGGAACTTAAAGTCCCTATTATAAATGGTGTGGATATTAAATATACAATGAAGCTCAAAGCATGAAATTATTATACATTTCTGCTAGATATAATAAATATTCTATATCCATTTATGATGTTGTTATTTTTGAAATATCCCAACAATCACCGTTATGACAAAATGTAAAATAGTGAATATATTAAAAAAAAAGTAGTATAACTTGTGTGCTTGCCTATTGTGTATTGATTCTATAAAAGCAACCTCACAGCTTTTACATTACATCTTTATTTTCTAATGATAGTGGAATTTATTTTTTAACTTCTACAATTTATTCGACAGTGTCAAATATTTCTTATCTGTTAGTGTATGATAATTATGAATATAAACTGATATAATGGCTTAATTATTATAATAATTGAAACTTTCTCTCTAGAACAAATCATAAATATATTATAATTTGGAAATCTTATTGTACGACAACTATTTTTTGTGTTAATTAATTTATAATTTGAATAATCTAAAACATTTTATATAGAATCATATCAAAATTAATTTATGACAAAATTTCCTAATTAATTGGAAAAAAGCACTAAGGAATATTTTCTTAAAGTTACGTGACAAAAAAAATCATAAATACGTGAAAACTCTTATGAATTTAATGAAATTTTTTAGAGTGATATTAATGTTCTTTGTTAAGAATTAAAGCCAATTTTTTATCCTGTTCGTTCATGTCTTTATCATCCCATCCCCACACAGTGTCATCTGTAAGATCAGGTTTATTGTCATCAATAAATTGACTGTTTCTTGAACCATCTCCAGTTCTGAGAGCTCGCTTATTAATCATGCTTGTTGGAACTGTCTTCAAATCATAAGCAAGACCCAGCCATGCAAAAAAGTCTATAAAAGCAGTGGGTGTATTTGTTTTGTAATTTCCCAATTCCGAACTCTTGTAGTCCCAAGGGAAAACGTGATGATAATTGTGCCATCCTTCACCAACAACAGCTACTGCAAGTGCTAGATTATTTCTGGCGGTCATAGTTCTGAAATTGGAAATATTATTTGTAGAAAAGTCTTTGTTAATATTTTTAAATGTTTATTATTCATTTAAAAATAAATTAAACTTACTGGTCGTATGGTCTAGCTCCCCACATGTGAGCACCAGAATTGATGAGCCACGTTAAATGTGTGCTCCATAAGAATTTCGAGACAGACATATGATAGGCATCAAACCATGTTTCTCCACATACGTAGTGAAGAACCATTGATGGTATCGTGAAGCAAAAAACTCCTACCATTGGTAGGTAGTATCTAAAACGAATATATCATTTAGGTTTGTAATTTCTAAATATAGTGTGGTAGTTTTCAACTTTTATACAATTTAAATCATACAGTAAAGTAAGATTTATCTGTTGAAATATCTTATTTTTCTATTCAGACATTTGTATCTGTTCTTACTTTTTTTGGAACATCACTACGGGTTCCTTTTTAAGATCACTGATGTCGACAGTTGCACCCTTCCTTTTTACGTCAGGATGTTTTCGGACCATCAACCATCCCATGTGGGAGAAAAAGAAGCCCCTCTTCGAGTTGTGTGGGTCAGCATCGGTATCGACAAATTTGTGGTGCACTCGATGGTCTCTCACCCAACCATAGATATGACCCTAAAAAATCCAACTTACTTAAAGAAATCAAAAACAGGAGTTTAAAAGTTAAAACGCATTTGTTAAACTATCTTCAAAAAAAAAAAAAAAAATTGGAAAAATTTTGCAGAAGATTTTTTATTTGTTTGTGCAGATTTTTTATTAACATATAGGGAGGATGTGCGTTAATAATGATTGTAGTGTTCATTGTTGTTATTGCTTGCATCGCGCATGTCATCCGTCCCTATCTAATAGACATTGATGTCCGGTGAACGTCATTAGTCCTTGAGTTAAAAGGTTGATTTTTAACGAGATTGATTGAACCGTACATCTCGTTCGAATAAAGCCTCGACAGTTAATGAAGTTACTTTACCTGATATCCTATTGTCTGAAGGCACATCATAATTATTTTCATTGGTAGCTTGGCCTTGTAAGCTCTGTGGCTCCAAAGTCTATGACAGCCGGCTCCCGTTCCCAATCCGGTCAAAACGACAAATCCGTACACTGTAAACGGTGAAATTTCATAAATATTATTCTATCAAGTTTTTAAATTCATTTTCCATATGTTTGAGATACATAAAATAATTCAAATAGAAAATATCATAAAAATTAACTTTTTTCAAATATTAAATTAAAAGCCCATTTTTAAAAATCTGAATAATTGCAAAAATTTTTAAGTATTGAAATATAATTATTATTTACAGAAATTTATCACATATTCAGTTTTATACAAAAAGGATACGTTTACAAAATTTGAAATTCTAGTAGAAATTAGTAAGATATATTTAAATGAATAAACAAAAAATTATAATGAAAAGAGAATACTAAATTTAATTAAAGAAATAGAAATCATTACGTTTTTTATTATTAAAATATATTTCTAATTTGAGTGAACTTACTGATTAATGGACTCAAAATATGGGCTTTGGTACACATGAGATACATCCCATAAATTCCAGCCAAATGAAAATACGCTAAAATAGCGATTCTGTTCCAAACTAATTCCATTTTATGATCACTTTTTTTATAATCATTTTTTGGTTTTTCTAATATTGCGTCGGACTTCATGTTGTCCGTTGTTTTATAGGCCGTCCCTTCCAACACCTTTCCACTAGGAGTAGGCGTCATTTTTCCTAAAAAACTGACAAAAAAACATATCGATAAATATTTTTCAGTTGGAAAATATTGAACAGCTAAAAAATGCATGCACTAAATGAGGGAGAATTAATATGTAATTTACACAAAATCGATATATCGCACATTAATGTAAAATTTTTCACATTTCACACGAAATTGCAGTTTAAAATAAAAGATTTTCAAGAAACTTATGATCACCTAACTAGTGTCACTGGAACTCAAGGAACTCAACACTCTTGGAAAGTTGATTTTTTTCTCTCACGAAATATTCATAATCTCGCAAATTGATATTAGACTAACACGAATTAAATTCAATTGTGCACAATTTAAGTAAATTTTGCCTAAATTTGCAAAAAACAATTGACGTCACATGAGAGAGTAGCAGTTTAAACTGACAGCCAGTGCAGGATGTCAGCGATTGTAGCCCATACACTTCGTGTACTGAACCAATATTCCCCCTCGTTCAATCTCAACGAGGATCCATTGAATTAATTAAAATGTTACGTTTATTGCTATTGAAACACTTACCTAATATTCCCTTGTGATTTTAATATAATCGTATGACTTGAAATTTTCTAGCAAAGAAATATTTATAGTTCACCGTCTAGATACACTCTGATTCAATTAGAATCTTGCCTTCTACCATTTACCTTTTGTAATCTCGTTCTGCAACTTAGCAATGCAAAGTGAATGATCGCCTATTTTCGGCGAAGAATGATTTATTACTTTGCACTCTGAGTGCAACATTCATTCATAACGCGAGTGCATTGCAACTCATCGATAATTGACCACTTACAACGTTTTTAATTATTATTTCTATTTTACTTTACTAATTCTTAATCTACTATATTTCATGATAATTATTGGGTAGAAAATGTACTCGAAAAATTAGTATATTTAATAATTATCGAGATTTTATTAAAGTTTTATGCTTTTTCTCTTTTAATAATTTTAAAAAACTAAATTTCATATTGGTGAAATTACTAATTTTGAGTTTTGGTTTTTCATTTTATTTTTTCTTTTAAAATTACATTATAATGGAAAAACGGTAATTAATTCTTAAAATTATGGAAGTGACATGAAATTCATTAGCTTTTGTTTTGGAAGCAAAAAAAATAAAACAAAGATAATTTTTTGTATTTTTTTAGATGAAACATATTCAAAAAAAAATTTACAAAAAAATAATAATTCGTAATTTTTAAAATGTACAAAATATTTCCACTTCAAATCCCAGAAAAATCTAATTTAAAGAGATAGGTTACTTGTGAAAATATAATTATAATAATTTTGCAAAATAGAACCCTTTGAAATTTCAACCCATTCAAATTTACTTCGTTGCTAGCCGCTAATTTTTTTTTCCTTTTTTTTTGTTTTGAGAATATTTAGGATCTAAAATTATTGTTTTTAATAAAATTCTTTTTAAATCTTATTTTGACAATTTAAAAATTTTTATTTTTTCAAAATGTGAAAAAAATTTGTACAAAAATTGTCAATGAAAAATATAAAAAATTCCTAGTTAAGTTTAATTTTTGAAAGAATTAAAATTTTTAAAAAAATAGACAATTTTTTTTTGTCTTTCTTTACAATCATATTTTATTATAAAAAATTGAAGACAAATTTTTTTGGACCATTTTCGAGTTTTTTTTCTTTTTTTTTTAGAATTTTTTAAAAATCCTAACGTTTGATTGTTCAGAATTATGTAAAAAAGTTAAAATTTCCATTTTTCCACAATTTCGAGTTCTGTTGAAAACTTTTTTATTTTAATTTTTCATGATGTAGCATAATTTTGAATTCTCAATAATGTTAAAAAATAAAGTGGCGCTCCTAAAAAATGTAAATTTCGATGAATTGAAACTTTATTGGTTCATCCCTTTAGAAACAAATGAAATATTAGTTTGAAAAATAGTTTTCAGTACAGAAGAAAAATTTTTTTATAATAATTTTATATTGGTTGTGCGATGCTTGTAGGCAAGAGTTGAACTGTCTACTAAAAAACAAAATTTTTGAGATGAATTTAAATTTTTACTTATGTTATGTTCTTATTTATAAGAGCAAAATTTTTCTTTTTTTATTAATAAATAATATTAAAAATAAACATTAAATTCTGAAATTTAGCTTAATATAAATTGAAACTTGGTTTTGAACAACTAGAAGATAAGATTTGAAGATATTTATTATAAAAAAAAGTTGCAGCTAAAAATTGAAAACATGTGCATATGTGAAAGTAGAAATAACGTTGTGGTTTCTAAAAATATATTTTTTTAAATTATAATTGATTAATTATTATTTCTCCTTGAAGAAAAATCACTCAACTTTAGATTAAACTATTGATCTGTGTATAATGAAATTAAAAAAAATTAACTTATCTTTTTTCACCATTTACTGTAAGTAAATTGAAAATCGATTGAATAATTTTGTTGATAGTGAAAATGAGTACATCTGACGACAGTTAGGCAGACAGATGAAAGAACATATTTAAATTTCTAGGCGAAATCAGTCTGTTGTAAATATAACTGATGCGATGACAATAAAGATATCAGAATCTATATAGCAGCGGCTCTTTTTATTAGCTATGTATATGGTCGTGATAAATATAACCCTCTATTGTACGTGTCGGAAGCATTAAGTACACATGATTCTTTATGAAAATAAATGCGTCCTGTGCAAAGAAAGGGGCTCGTAATCAATAAATTAATGGCTCAATTCTTCTAAGCATATATATTTTCTTTTTTGGCGAATGTTGCAAAGTTTTTGGATTCTTGTATTAAATGAGAGTTCATCTTGGAAAGGCTTTATTCAGGAAGTGAATAAAACGTACCCTTTGCACCCTCACGACACATCTCTATGCCGCAGTAACCTTCTATTCTCGCCTTCCCATTTATTCGAACCCATTGAAACTTCTCTCGCGCAGTTATACCAAAACGAGTCAAAGTGGCATGGCGCACGATAGGAAAAATCTTCAACGTCTCTACGTGTATTTGCTTTTATTTAAATTGTAAGTTAGAAGCTTCGACAACGTAAGTTTTGGACTCGGGGCTTTTAGCGAATGGAAGAAATGTTTGCGCTAAATGGTTCGATCCCATATGGAAATGAGGTTGGCTCCTCTGGGGTGACTCTCCACTTCTGACTGATCTCAAAAGTATCTTTGCCTCTTTTTGCCATCTTTCCTCTTCTTTGACGTTTTTCCACCTCAAAAGTCCATCTCACGTATTGCCAATGTGATTTACGTATGCAGACGTCACTGTCTCGTAAAATCTCTTAGAATTTATCAAACGAAAAAAATCACGCATTTAATATATTTTAGTCTGTAACTTGGAACGTTGCTAAAATCAAAAATAAAACTTTTCTTCCTTATAAAATAAATTATATAGTGCAAAACTCTAAACAAAAAAATTGTTTAAATAAATTGATTTGCAAAATTTTAGTAAATAAATTTTAGTTTTCGTTTCGATTTATTATAGTAAAATTAAATCATAATAAAGGATTTAAAAGACATAAGTCATGCTCTTTATTTTATGTGTCAATAATATAATTATTATTAATAACGTTAATATTATATAAGAGTAATTAAGAAAAAGATAAGAGGTGATTAGATTGAGTAAATGTGTTTATAGATATAGTAAACAAGTAGTTTTTGTAATTTATGGAAATTGTAAAGACCTATGTAAGTTATATAATGAATATAAATTATTATTATTATTATTAACAACGTTGATTATATAACGTGGTTAAATTTGTATTTGATAAGATTTAAAAAATATATATTATATATATTTTTTAAACCATAATGGTAACGACGTTTCGAATAAATACTCACAATATTAACCAAGTCAAATATATACATTTTGTATTATAAAAAAGGGGAATTTTATATTAATAAAATAAGTAACAACTTTTATGTTGCAATGTATAAATAAAATTCAGAATAATCATACTGTCACGAATCTCAATTCTCATGGAGTATAAGATATTAAGATCTGACAGATTATGTTGCCACTTTAAAGGTGGGTGGTGGAAAGTATATACATTGAAGATACATTGTAGATGGCGCAACATACTAAAAAGTGATTAACTGTAATTCAAGTAAATCTTTTACTTTGATCTAAATTTAATTTAGTATTTTTTAAAATCAATAATGAAATACTTATAATTTTGATTTAACTTTAAATATAATTGAATATATAATTATAACGTTCTTAATAATATATTGATTCATAAAATGAGAAGCTTGATTGCAATGTCTTTTACAAGATTTTCAAAATTTTTTTATTTTCCTTAAAATTTCTTGTGTTTCTAATTTGAAGTAAAATATAGTAAAAAGTATTAACTTTGAAATATATTTTAATAAAGTTACTATTAATATAGATTTGTTAATTAAAATTATAGTTGGGGATAAATATAATTAACCTCAAGTGACCCCACTAAATCAGTAAAGAATGACTCTGTTATTAGCGAATTAAGCCAACTAGTATAGCCTTTCGCTCCCTTCTCATACAATGTTTACAATTAATTTCCTTTTTACAATCTTTACAAACTTTTAATTATTCATGCTATTGTGATAGGAAACAGTCATCAAGTTTTTAAAATTAATTTTTTATAAACTAAACAACACAATTTTGTTTTCTATATTTTTAATTTCGAAATGAAATTTCTTAGACACGTTTTTATACCACTTTTTTTAATCTATATTTTTCTTTTTTAAAAAACTAGTTTTGTGATAATATAATGTAACTAGTCAGTGATCCCGTGTCAAGGAAAATTAGATAATCCCAATAATGGGAAAATGATAACAAGAAGATAATGTTTAATTAATAAAAAAAAGTAGCTCTTAAAAAAAACTGATAAAGTAGAACTATGTCAATTCAGCAATGATAAAAATAAAACAATTAAATAAAAACAAACATAACGAAACTATTACAATAATTTAATTATAATAAAATTAAAAAAAAAATTTCGCACTGGCTTCGTAATCGTCGAGGTTAAGCAACCCGGGTGTTAGCGTACTTGATAGGTGATCGAGACAATAGATTTGATATTTTTACCTCAGAAGTTTAGAATAGCTTAAACAAATAACGAGGTAATAAAAAGATGATTGGAAAACAATGACAACAGAAATTTGGCGCAATTTTTAGGAAAATATGTTTCTTAGAATTAGCATATAGCAAAGTCTGAAAATTTGAACTTGTACCGGAGAAATTGGCGACGCTGCATGAGGACTTACTGGAGCCAATCACAACTCCGAGTAACCTCACTCTCTCAGATGTTCGTTAATGGCAAGTCCCACACGGGAATTGCAGAGGCGGATGATAGAAAGAGAGAGAGAGAGAGAGATGGATCCAAATTTGCATACTCGTCAGCTGTGCTTCCTTCAACTTTTCCGCGTCACCCTTCTCTCGACTCTTTCTTTCTCTCTCCCTTATACAAAGCCCATAACTAAATTCGT